TAATTCTTCACAGTTTCATTAGGAAAATATACAAACAAGCATTATATATTGGTCAGTGATACTTCTGGAATATTCCTATTTGCATTAAAGATATAAATGAAGACAAATATTCATTTATATCTATAATACAAATAAGAATAATCATGAAGCATCACTAAGCAATATGCAATGCATGTTTCCATATTTTACTAACACTGCATTTAAATAATAAATAAATTTACATTATATTAATTTTCTTATTTCTCTACCAATGATGGTAGAACTTTTGAAAATAATTAATAACACACTAACGGATGAAACAAATTTTGATTATCTAACAAATTTCTATACTATTATTATCTAAAATTTTATATACTAACAATCATAAAAATTGACTCTACTACCAGAGGTGTCCAAATGCCACCCACGAGCTACAAGCAATTACAAGCCTCCCCTCGTGGGTTTCCCAGACTACCGACCTCAAATTGACTCGAACGTGTCAACCTGAGTCCCGTAGTGAGGGTACCTCCGGAAGGGAAGAATGCTGCTCGCAAATGGTAGATGGACACCTCTGGCCCTGTCATTTTTAAGGGACAAACTTTACAAATACTCATTTATTCTGAGTATATATGTACGTCTACCATACCGATATGTTTAAAGAACATTGTATACATGCTGGTCAAACACAGTAGTACCTTCCCTGCATTTAACGCTCACACTCCATTAAAGTGGTCGTGAGTACACGCCAGCACATTTCGATATATGTATATATTACTACCCGTGTGTACGTAAAATTGGATACAATTCTATGCTATTGGCAAATCAAAACGACCGGTTATGACAATGATCGTGCAATAATTTAACACGTGTGCACCCGTGTTAAATTATTCCATAACACATGGTTTTTCACGAGGGTGTGCATACCGATGAACAGACGACGTAAATCAACACGTATTCTTTTTATGGATCGATACTTTATTATAATTTGCAAATACGAATGAAACCTGCAATACTGGTTCTTATTTTTGAAACGTGCTGCCGTGTCTCGTGGTATTGCGTTAATTGATGTATGTAACATGCACATCTAAGAAGGTACCACAATGTTTTCTATCTCTACTTCAAACATACCAACGTGGTTTCTGTTCTTTTGATTCTATATTTGTAGACATTTATTTCATACATTAATGAGTTCAGTATTATTTTTGAATCTACTGACCGTACTTGTAAACAACACTAGAATAATATCAATGTAATCGTTTGGATATCGTCATTCTGATACAGTTGTCTGGTATCGTTTATGAAAATGGACAGTAAAATTTGATAAAGTAATACTAGTATTATTACAAGTATTACTTTACAAAATATTACTGCTCAATTTCATAAACGATACCAGAGACGACTCTATCCGAATGACAATATCGAAACCATTACATTGAAACTATTCTACCAATTACCATCAAGTTTCTGCATTCTTTAGTCAACTGAATAACATAGTACCAAGTTCTCGATTAATAAAAAAATATCAACTGTTTAAACAATAGGACTTCTGGCTCCAAAATATCAAAGATCAATATTTCATATTAAATTAATATGCGTTTATAAATATACTTTCAAAAGAAAATATTTCTGAATTGTATTACTAATATCAAACGCGGCGTACAAGAAGACCCTAGCCTATCTAAGAAATACAACAGATATCGATGTCACTACTCGCGGATATGATTGCATATCCGCGTTCACTGTACTCGCAATATTAAGCACGTATACAACCAGTCACCCGTGCCGCTTTGGACCAATCGTCCTACGACATGATTGGGGACCAGAGGAACAAAAAGCATGCGACTCACCCGATGACAGAAGGGCTCCGTCTAAGACTCTAGGAATCTGGAAAAAAAAAGGAACAAAATGCGTTACAATCTCTTCTCAACATTTTACTTATTTCGATTGAATAATGTAAGTAAGAATATTTAAAGATGCTTACAGTCTTGGCTGGTGGAGCTTCGCCCGAGGACATCCTCTGCAATAGTCGTTGATGCAGCGTCCGATGAATCTGATAAAAAATGAACAGAAATCGTTACAACCTCCTCTCAAAATTCTAACTGTTTCAATTGAATAGTGCAATAAAATGTAAGGATACTTACATCCTCTGTAAACAGAGCTGCGCAAAAATATTTTCTTCGGTGATGCACTGACTCTATTTTCGCGACTCAAAAAGCAAAGTGTATCCCGACACTCTGACAGCAATTGATAACACGCAATAAACACTGACTCTAATTTCGCGAATACCTAACATCTCCGGTGAGATTCTACACGGAGCCAGTTCGCTCCGTATAAACAAAAAATCTTGTACGATATAAACACTGACACTATTCGACCGCATTGCGCGCGGCCACAAAATTCTCTGAAAGAAAAGTACATGGGAAATACAAGGCACACTTGTGCCTGCCTACTGTTTTAGTTTCTGTAACCTACCAAGTGTTTGTCGAGAAAATACTGCCTTTCAATGATTAACATGAGTTCAAATATTATTAAATATTACAGTATAATTAGTAAATTCAATATAAATATATTAATTCTGTTATATGTATATATTTAATATTTATCTATTATATTAAAGACATTTGTTGTTAGAGCTGTAAGCACGTTCATTTTCTGTATCTAAACCACGTCCCGATTTTTGTAAATATTCCGAAAATCGTTGCAAATATCAAAGTTTCGTTATATACCCGTGCTTCGATGAGCACGATGAATTACGCAATATCTATATAATCAAACTTACAACCGAAACCGTATGCAAACGCAAACACGATGGTTCCGTAAAAATAGACAGGTGAAATAATTAATATTAAAACAATTTCGCGACCGTGACACAGGAAATTGCGAATATTTCGAATTTAAATGTTTCAAAGTAATGATCAAATTTTGAAACGGCCACGGTAGCCATTTCGAATTCTTCAACTACGCAGTTACATTCAAAGTACATATGTACTTCCCGGAAGAATTCTCATTCGACCTTTGCACAATAAATAAAAAAATCGCGATCATGCTTACAACGAGACATAATATAAACACGATAAAATAAAAATATGTAGTAGATGATCTCCTATTTGTTACAACATATTACCACGTTTCACCAATTTTCCGGCGTGTTGCTACTGTCATGGCGTCGGGGGGCACGTCCTTTCCAACCGGTGTTCTGAAACAGAAAATAAACGCGTTTAAACCAAGCAATTACGTTAAATTATCAATGGTTTCGTTACAAATAGATAACTATTGTACTCAAGGTGTGCCGTAAAAGATTAAAAATGGAATAAAAAATGCGTAAATACTGCGGCGTAGATAAAGAAAGTCGCGAAAACCGTTCACTTTGTCCCGTAATATCGAATTAATTTACGATAATTTACTCGAAATTGAATAAATATTAAACGAAAGTAACGATAAAGAAATAACGAAGGCACTAATAGTCGGTATAAATGATTAGATGTGAAAAGTAAAGATCACGTACACTTCGATGGGAGCGAATTCACTTTACGTCTTGTCACTTCAACTCGTGCAAGACGAATGACCCTTAAGTCGTCTTTGACTGCTCGCGATGGGTTGATTCGGTTATCTTAGGGACATCGTTATTGGTGGTTCGGTGGGTGGGGGTAGCTGTCCTTCCCGCCCCACTTCAATTTCTAGTTTAACGAAATAAAATATTCAGTACCATATGACACGCCGGTATGACCTTTTTTTTTGCGTATACCTCCGGTTAGCTCAACGAGCACTGACTCACCTCAAACGGAATAACAGATGCACAAGGACGATTTCTCAGAAATTTCATTTCGCCGCCCTGCGATGGTTATAAACAATGCCACAACCATATGTTTTATGCCTTTGTTTGACCACTTTTCGAGAACTTACATTCCAATGTACCCTACGAATAATGAATGAATTTAACCGCGTACATATCCCAGGCCATTTTCGAAAAGTTGTTATTTCAATTCGTTTTGGATGGAAAGCATTGATGTACAATGCTTAGTGGTATTTTTATTGCCCCTTTGTCAAAGTTTTGAATACGATGTTTTTCTGAACACCATCTGTGATAAATACATCCCGTCAAATATTTGACAATTACGCCAAAGTTTATGAAACACAATCCGACAGATATCACCAACTAAATAATAGATAGAGGCTTTCCTTTATGGGGAAAATGAAGAACACGCAGACCAGGCAATATTGTGGAAGTTTGGTTAACTGAGCTCTAGTTGGGTTGAAGTTCATTATATTATTTCTCGCAATAAATAAAATTACTGTAAATAAATGATGATTAAATAAAGTTATGTGTAAAAATTAACCAATCGCCGGAAGGTAATTTATTTTTCGTATTAAGATTCTTATATCACGTTATTAGATAAAAAATATATATAAGAACGAAAAAAAGGAACGTATAAAATGTAACATTGCCAAAATGCCCATTTATGATGCATTTCGAACAATTTATCTTGCCTTATTATTATGTAATAGCCACCCTCCTCCCCCCTGCAGACTAACCCAGTTTTGTGAATAAACTTCTGGATATTTTTTAAAATAACGGAGATATGTAATTAAAATGATCCAGAAGTGCGTACATCCAGCCCACCCTATATGCCTCTGCGTCGCACAAATAATCGGACGACTGGTGGGGAAAGCGCGCGTTTAATTGGCACTCGTTAATTGATCAGTTCCTGGAAACTCGGCCCTCTATAGCCCCGAGATGATCGATTATTGGGCGCCTACTGTATTTTCCCAGAATGTCCATTTTCTCAACTGTTGATAACAAAGAAATTGAAATGATCTGTGGATCAAACGCGCCAAAGGTCTCCTTTCTTCAATTCATAGATGTAGTCGAGAATAGACAGTTTTACCGTTACGAAACCTCAGAAACGTCCAAGTTTTACTTTACCTTATCTTTACCTTATTTTAATAATTAATCTGTACATAGCTCGTATGAAGAATTCTTTGTATTAATTTCTACAATAACGTACAGTAAACCGGAAGATATGGAGAATAAAACCAAGCTCAAGAAACGAGGTTATTATTCTGAAATCATTACAGGTGAGTAACCAAAAGATCAGTACGGAATTACATTTATTCCATTTATTTCTATACCATAAAAGAGACAGAAATAAGAAAACCATTAAAACTGCGTTGACCAACGTATGATCGATACTGTAAATGAATGAATATGATGTATAGGCACAAAGGAAGATCCTGTCAGGCCTGAAGTTGTTCTACGGGCCATTGCACCAAGAAGGGCAAAACTTGCGTGGCAAGTTCTCACCGAACACCACAGTGCTTCCGTGCAAGAATTAAAAGGCCAGGAAACTTATAACTTTCTCGGTGAAGCACAAAGATGGATGAGCTTCAACGCGGATCGAACAATTGTGAGCAAAAAAAGAAAGCCACCCATAAGAATTACAAATTTTTTTATAGAAAAAGCTTAATGATGCATAATATCCAAGATGAATTACCAGTAATTTCTTGACAATTTTATAAAACTTATCCGTATTCTTCATTTTAAACTTTTTTTTATCTATTATTACTATTTCTTTTGATCGAATTACGCGAACTCGTGCAATTTTCTGTATTTCCTTTCTCTACGATCTCGCCCGTTTTACGTGCACATTATCGAAGAGATATTTCGTCGATTCAGACGTTCCCCGCGGAAACGTTCACTCCGAAAGTGCAAATGGAACTGAAGGTGGAGCCGAAACGATTACCGCGAAACGTGGCGATGGAGAGACAACGGAAGCTATTTCGAAGCATACACACTGAAGATGCTTTGGACGCCGTCGGGATCACACCGAGGGATATCTTACCACCGTCCGCCATTTTACCCTTACTGCCTCGCGAGGAGATCTACGGTCTGTTCGGTACCGCGCACTTGTTTCCGATAGAGATTTTTGACGACGAGGAATACGAGCGTAGGTACAGGACCACAAAAGCCAATTTAATCGATACGAATATTTTTTCCCTCTTCTATAAAATTATAATAAATATTGATTCTGTTAATTTGAAGTCAGGGTGGACGCAGCAGTAATGAACATTATACATAAAAACGAGTAAATTAAGTTATTAAAACAAGCAAATGAATAAATGTTGATAACTTTCAATTTCTTGTTTTATGTTTGAACAATTGTTGCACGATTGTGTAGAAATGTTCATTTCCTTAATATTCTTCATTCATTGGTGAAAATTATATTTTTTCCTTTCACTAGAATTAATTCAGTTTTTCCAATTTTTCAAATTGAAATCTCTATGTTATAAAAACTTACAGATATTAAAAAATCTACTTCTCACGACCCAAGTATTTATTAATATTATAGCAATTTACCCTATACCGTTCCCTATACGTGTACCGGAAGTTATCTCAATAATCGAACAAATGAATATAACTTTACGACAATGGAACGAGTCCGTAATGAAAGTTTATCACAATAGTGTTTATTGATTTCCGATAAAATAGAACAATCGAAGACAGGCTGAATCTCGGTGTCATTAACGGGGTACAGTCCCCGTTACCATCCAACGTGTTCATTCCGCGGCTTCAAGAGGAGGAACAAAAATTCGACAAGGTCGATGATATGCTGGACAATCTGTTCTGTTGGTGTGACTCAGCTGTGACCGATTACGATTACGACAAGAGACTGTGGTCGGTGATCACTTCGGACGGAAGCAAACGATCGTACTCGGTACCCAGACTCTACGTACGATTTTACTCCGAACACCCGAATTTGTTCGCCAAGAGGGTGGCCGCGGCCGTCGAAAGCAGGAGAATCGCCGAAGCTTCCATAAAGTTATCAGAACCATACTATATTCCCCTTTATTCACACCTGATTTTTTTTACTTAATTTTCGAAATTTTCATGTAGATACAATTTTTATCTGGACTGCATGCAACTGGACGGTATGGACACTTTGAGCGAGACGCAGAAGGACGCCATTGTTCGGCTGACCGTGAGACGACACTTGAGGATCAAACGGGAGTTCATATCGACGGTGCATAAACGTTTGTCCAGAAAGACTTTTATTTTACACATTAACTGCGACAACTAGTCAACTATTAATGTGTTCGACTGTTTTTGTTTAGAGATCAATGACACAGTAGGATTATCCTCGTTGAAAGTCTTAAGGGGTTAGCCCACTTTGGACGCTAAACATGGAAACTACATTTTGAAAATATTTTTGCCAAAATAATGAAGTAAATAGGAAATTTGTTAAAATATGTACATCATTTTCGCCAAGAAATTGCTATCATTTTTAGGCTCTGAAGTGAGCTAACCCCTTAACTTTGTCTCAGAGTTGGGCAAACTTTTTATCTAAATAAAAATTTCGAATAACGAATAAAAGATAAAAAAATTTTATTCGTTATTCGAAGTTCGACAGTATTTGTCGTTCGAACAGTTATTTAAATATTTTGTATCTAAATAATGCCCAACTCTGCTTGGTCCCCGTCGATATATTAAGCAGAAAATCGAACTGTTTTTCAGCTGATCGAAGAGATCTCCTTGGACTATCAACGGACAATGTGCGATCTGATGTGGAGGCGAATGATAGAGCGGAATCCGGGAATGTTTAAATTCATCACGTGGATGCCGAGCATGGACGAGGACAGCGTGCCGAAAACAGGAAAGATCGATACGGGGATGGGAAATTTCACGGTAACTCCTCGTTCCCGTAACGGTATGTTGGATCGTTTCATAAAAGAATCCGTCTTTTAAGCTCACGAAAGGGTGGGCGGGTGAAATTACAAAATTCCTGGAACACTGCTTGGCAATTACATTTACTTGCACGAAATATAGGGTCGTCCGTAAAGTTCGTAGTGTTTCCAAGAACAAAGTTGCAATCTGTATTTTTCAATGTATATCATATTCTTATTTACTACTATTTATACCATTTCTTTCGACTTTTCGAATAATGTCAATATTATCCAAAATAACGCATTACACATTGATTGTATCAAAAAACGTATTAATTTAACATACAATTTTATGTTTGTATACCTTATTTTTTTCGATATCGAGGTGACCGCGAGATTCACAATTTGGTGAAACCTATACTATTACAACACGTTGAAGTACAGACTTCCCTCGATTGTCGTCTAGTTCTACACGATTATTGTCCAGACGTTATTCCCACCACTGGGAGGTCGGGCGTGGAACCTATCAAACGCATACTTTGTTGTCGAGGCTCAGGCTTCGGGCAAAAAAATTTACGAAGGTCTGAAGCGTTTCTCCCAATTCAATTATTGTCCCGGTGCGGACCCGAGTTCGGGACAATAATCGAGAGGAGTCTGTAGAACGAAAATATAACATTAATTCCAATTTATCGAATCCTGAAATCAGCCAATAAATTCACGGATCTGAATGACTTTTTCAGTGGCTCTATTGAATACTTTAAAACATCCCTAGATAGAGCACTAAGAACTGTTTAATCTTAGTTAATATTTTATTAAAAATTTCCTGTTGCGACTAATTCCATACTGTATAACATATTGATGTTTTTCTAATAATCTATAACTGTTTATACCCGTTAAATAACTAAATAAATAAATAAACAATGTTATAAACAACAGCCAATATCAGCGACTATAAGGGAATCTGTCCTTGAATAATATTGTTTGTTCAGGGAACGAAAAAATTCACTCACTGGATCACGTTGTACGTGCTGAGGGAGGTGTACGACGCGATGGCCTGCATCGTGGCGGAATGCATCCACGTGTCCTCGATGAATCTGTTCGCCTCTACCCAGGGAAGGATCATGAAGCTATGGGAATTCGAGGACATGAATTCATTGGCGACCAGCACGGTGATAAAGTACCTGAAGGAGCCGTGGCTCGAGAAGATCGCGCAATCAGTCCGAATGTGCCTGCGCGACGTCGGGAAGGGGTGGTTCAATCTCGAGCAAAAAATCCACGGTGTGTACGACGTGATGAAACTGAAGCGTTTCATGGACCTGACCACGTTGCGCATGCAGGTGTGTAAACAATCGATTTTCGAAATACAAACAAACCTACACACGCTGCTCCATCCTTGTGCAATAACATTTACCCTAGATTGTGTTTGGTCGCGAGTCGATCGATCGACGAACTCGTGATTTCTTTAGCGAGCTGAGAGAGTAGCAGCAGGAGGGGCTAACGTATTTACATGCTCGCCCATGTTTCTGTAACTTTACTCGATTATTTATATGGCCAATCGAAAAGTTTTGCTGTACTTGGTTGGTACTACTTTTTGACTTTAAGGAAGAAATCAGCCTTTTTATTCGAAGTATCCTTTCTTTAAAAATATCTGAAGGACGTTTAATTCAATTTTGTATCTCTTTCTAGTTGTCCATATATTGGTAGAAAATATTTTTAAAAAAATTACCTTAAAAAAACAAATATTTTTGTCAAAACCGTGCTTCAGTTTGTTACTTTCTAGTATCCACGATTCTATCGCGTACAGTTTCCCTGAAGGAACACATTATAGATGTATTACATAATGGGTTATTAGATCGTTCTATTACCGTTTCCACTGAATTTACTGGAATTTTCCGTATATAACGCCCCATTCATTGGCTTCGTTACCAGAATCCCATCGAGACAGTAAATAACTGATGTTGGATTAATCGTGTCGGGTATAATAGCGGTTTCACGATGAGAGAGATGCTTGTTGTGTACACGTTCCAACACTTCTATGGCATTGTATCGTGCACAGTGTACAGGATGGATGCACCGATGAATGACCACGTATCAATGAATGAACTTTATATATGAAACCGAGTGAATTAAGTTCTTAAAATAAGCAAATGATTAAGTATTTATTTTTTTCCAATTGCTTGCTTCATATTCAAATAATTTTCGCGCTATTAGTTAGAAACGTTCCTTTATTGGTGAAATCTGTATTTATTATTTTTAATTTAATTAATTACATTTTCCTAATTTTTCAAAATTGACATCTGTACATTAAAAAAAGGTAGAAATGTTAACAAATTTAATTTTCCGGTAGCAAATATTTATTCATATTATTATCATTTAAAATTCGACTTTAGTAGTTATAAAATTATTTATTGGTGCGTTTACCTGACCTGATAGTCTTTTTTTTTAGATAGAGTCTTCTCATATTACGATTTTCGAAATTTACGCAGCACGCACTACGAATTATGGTGGAGAACTCGATCGTGTCTTACGGCGAGAGCTTGGAGAACCCTGCGCTCTGCGTTTTAGGGGTCGACGAGTCTTTCACCTGGGGAAGCAACTTCGTCAAGAGTCAGTTCACGTCCACCTATCCACCACTCTTCAACATAGAGATTCAAATGAACAACGAGGTGGCATATTATTCCACGGATCCCGATCAATTCGGGGTAAGGATCGACAAATTTCGGGGCTACTTCCATGGGCGTAGACAATCAATCGGGAAGGGGGGCAAAATTGATCAAAGTAAATTTCATAATATTACTTTAAATGGATTTTACATTCATTTTTACATACAAAATATCAGTTACTAATAATATAATATTTTTCTCGTCTAAAGGGGGCTAAAATTCAATTTTTTGCCACAGGAAAGTGGCCTTTGCTATATCCTAAAAGGGGAGAAATTGTATTTTAACTCCCTTCAGGGGAGAAAAATATTGTATTATAGTAACTAATATTGTGTGTGTAAAAATAAATGGCATAAAATTATGGTGCAAGTGCCCCTCCCTACCCCCTGGCTTTAAAATAGTGCACATGGAATAAGTCCAGATTGTACCAAAAAAAAAAAAGTAAATCAGGGCTGTCACCGGATATTTTTGGCAGTATTCCATATTCTGGACGCTGATTCATGATTACCGATATTCGGTTCGATGGTGAGATAGCGGTTTTCCGGGATCCCTGAATGGCACATGAAACTGGAGCACGCTTATTTATTGCAATATTTTTTTCATTGTCATTCGAGGAACATTCTTTGCGGAAAATCTCGCAAAAAGATGTGAATTACCGTAAGTCGGGGTAATTTTGTCTCAGTTAGAGATAAATTTTTCCTAAAGTCAGATAATTATCATTTTCGTTTTTGCAGATGTTTTACAGGTATTTTTATACGAATAAAAAATACCTTTTTGCATAATAATCAATAAATACAATAGTATGATAATATATATTTTATATCAATAATTGATTTAAAAATTTGCAAGCTGGGAAATGGAAAATAATCATTTTCTGATTTCAAATATAGTTACTGTAAGTGTGTCAAAGTTACCCCAATTTATTGTGCCGTTGTTGAACGCTTCTCCGACTTCACGTCAAGATAACAATCGTCTCCTTGTACGACACCGCCCTCGGCGCCTGCCATCAAATTCGACAAGTCCATCCGTTTCTGCTCCCGGCGTTGAAGTTCCCGGCGGATGTTTTCCTGAGTTCAGTCGGATTGCTGGAGGACCAGGTGTGCGACATCCGGAACCGTTTAACGCTGGCTTACCAAAAGTCCACGGTGCCACTTAAAGCGTACGCTCGTGAATTCCACAGATTCCTGGAGCTTTTCAATCTAAACATCGCTAACTACATCGAGTAAGTAGCCGTTGGCGTTTATTTTTGTAGAACTGATGTATGAAATCCTTCCACTTTTCTTCTTATCGATATTATTGAAAAACAGATTATTTTTATACAAGACAATTTGTAATTTCACCAAATCTGAAAAATCGATGTATCCTCGATATGGGTGTATGAAGAGTTTGTTCCTATTATATATTTTCAAAAAGATACGTTGAAATTGGTCCATGGTGAATCTAGGAAAATTTCAGTGGTGCCTCCTTGATGCCCAAAGCACTTGCTTATTTTGTTCAATGATTAACCAGCCCAGACAACCCAGTTTCAAAGTTCCATGTTCAACCGAACAAAAAAAATTCAGAAGAATCTCTAGTAATATTTCTTCTATGCCCGTTGCAATCGTGGAAATGTCTCAATCGATAGACCAGATATGAATAGAGATATACCGTGATATCAGAGGCAAAGTATTGAACTCCTTCCTGGTTTCGCGATGAATAAAATATTTCCACTCCCTGTGGGAGGTTAAGCTCCCAGTATTCCGGTGCCGATTAATTCATTCGAAGCCGAGTGGCTAAATGAAATTCCGTTTCCGGCTGTTCAGCGAACTGAAGCAAGATGAGGATCTCACCACGTTGGACATAAAGGATGCGATATCGCATCAGATCGGGATGAAGTTGAGCCTCGAGGCGAAATTGCCGAACGTCATACCGATCGGCCCGTTCAACGTGAACGTGCTGCCGTTGAAAGAATTCCTGATGCAGAAAAGGCACGATTGTTCCACGGGGTTGCTCGAGATGCTCACCGAGAGGTTACGCAACCGGGTCGACGAGATCCTGGACGAATACAGGGAGATACGTATCAAGCTGAAGGAACAGCCGCAGAGCATCGAGCATATATTCGAGATTCGCGACTGGATGGAGACCATACCGCTTCGGGTGCAGAATCTGGAGGAGAGGATGGATAAATTGAAACTAGACTTCGACGTACTGGACAATTTCTGGTGGAACCTGTCCGACCAGGACTTCGAGGCGAAGTGGGAGGCGATTGGGTCTCCTCTTCAGATTCAGTTGCAGGTACACATATGCAAATCCATTGAATCGAGCCTGTCGCCGTTACTGGTAGCTGTTTTACAATTTTTCTATCGTATTTTCGACGATTGCTCACGTCCCCCGTTGTGGTTATGACCATTTCATCTCTTGAGGGATACTGGCACGTATGTGCACGTTTCATTTTTCTTTTATACAAGAATCATTCTAAAATTGTAATTAAATATTCACTAGGAAATTCTTTGACAAAACAGGGTACTCTGCTAATTGTTGGTTGTTAATATTGACATATTTTAATTAAGTACAGCTGAAAAATAAAAAAAAATGTTTCTGAGCTTAACCTATTCGTCCCTGAAGAGGTTAATTTTCTGACTTGTCTGTGTCGTGCTTAGTTTTGGGTTCGAGTAGCGAAAGGGAATGGGGACAGCTCAAGATTTTGGTTAACAGTGCTTATATTTTAATAGAAAATACGATGTAATAGTAATAAAAATAAGGTGTTAGAGATTAGTAATGCCTTGCAAGATTTGAATACTTACTTGGTGGAGTACTGTACTTTAACCTCTGTAAGAATTACACAACTCTTGAATCCTGCAGATCGAGGAGACGATCGAGTGGCATATCGAGGAGCAAGAGAAGTTCTACAGAATTCAGGTGCAGGACGAGGTCTTTCTGCTCGAGAAAATCGACACGCTGGTGGGCAACGTTCAGAACATAAGCCTCCAGTCAGACATGAATCGAATACACGAGACCGCGCTCGACGTGAAACGCGTTTGGAAAACGATGACCGAATGTCGGGAGACAGGGCTGCTACTGAACGAACGACAGAAGCTGTTCGGAATGAAAGTGGTGCCGTTCGAGCATTTGCAGAAGCTTATAAGGGATTTCGAGCCGTACAGAAGTTTATGGGTTACCGCCTCAGGCAAGCTTTCAAACGTCGATCTCCAATCTAATCCCCCTTATCGAATATCAGTCTGTATCCCATCGTGATATACGATGGTAATATTAAAAAATAATAAACTTCGAAGTTCTGACATCTTTTGCTGTCCACGAATTGAGACAGATTTATCGATTTGAAAAGTTCGACAACGATAACATTCGTTATCCAAACCAGTAGTTTCCGTAATAAAGTGACTTACCTGGAATTCACTTGTAATCGATAGATTGGTTGAAATGGTACGACATATGGATGGACAATCCTCTGGTCAATATAGACGGCAGCCAAGTGGACAGCCTGGTAATGGACATGTATCGAATAATGACCCGGGCTGCCAGAACGTTCCAGGAACATCCGAGTAAACAGACAGATTCTAACCTAAAAACGATTACACATCCCGTCCGTCTCCGCCCGGTTCTGAATCGACGTTGTTCTATCTGATAGAGGTGCAAGCGATAGCCACATCGATAAGGGATCAGATAGACGAATTCAAGCCGTACATCGGTCTGATACAAGCTCTACGTAATCCGGGGATGAAAGATCGACACTTCGAGCTATTGAGCGCGCAAACGGGTATACAGATGGTGCTCACGCCGTCGATCACGTTCAAAACCCTATTGGTGCTCGGTATCGAGCAGTTCGAGGAACTGGTGAAAACCGTCGCCGATACGGCTGCCAAAGAGTACGCTACTGAACGAACGTTGAATAAAATGATGGAAGAGTGGGAATCGATTGTCATGGAAATACTCCCGTACAAGAACACTGGTGAGCATGCAGATTCTCTGTTCATGGTTTATGGACGGAAAGGTCGAAAGCTATTCAGTAGATCGAAACGGAAATGTGTTTATACTTACGATTCGCGAGAGCAAATATCTTAACCTATTCAAAAGTACCTACCGTTTGTATACTGCTGAAGGATGAATGTTTTAAAATGCCATTTTGGGGTACGGTACTTCCGGTTTGAACAAAATCGTTGCCTTTACGTTACCTACAGGTACATACATAATAAAAGTCCCCGAAGAGACGATGATGCTTCTGGAGAATCACATAATCAGCGTGCAACAGCTCAGCTTCAGTCCTTTGAAAACCGTATTTGAGGATGAGATCAACGAGTGGGAGTACAAGCTGAAAATAACCGAGGAAGTTTTGAATTTGTGGCTGGAAGTACAAAGGCGGGTTAGGGGGCAATAAGTTGACGATCCTGGCTGGGGGGCTACAGTTTAAATATTTAACGGCGAAAGTTCGGTTTTTGTTGCAGGGAGTGGATGTACCTAGAGCCAATATTTACGTCAGAAGACATTAGTACGCAGCTGCCAGCGGAAACAAGAAAATACAACGCCATGGAACGGAATTGGAGGCGAATTATGAAGAACGCCCACGAGCATCCGTATGTGAGTTTCGATTCAACCGTGTGGAAATGTAATTTGCTTCGGTCGGGAATTATTGCCGTTGGGCCAATCGACACATTGATCGTGTTTATAATTTCATTTGCGTTTCCCCGTTTTGTTTCCTCCTTCCCGTGTCATCTTTTCGTACATTTTTTCGTTTGCAGATCATCAGGACGTGTCCCGATATAAATCTTCTGGAGAGCCTACAAGAGTGTCAGAGCCTGTTGGAAGTGGTGCACAAAGGTCTATCAAACTATTTGGAGGTGAAACGAAGAGCGTTCCCGCGTTTCTACTTCCTCAGCGACGAGGAATTGCTTGAGATCCTGGCGCAGGCGAAGAACGTACACGCGGTACAGCCGCATCTACGCAAGTGTTTCGAGAATATACAACAGGTCCGGTTCGAGGAGGACTTGGAGATCACAAGAATGTACTCGGCCGAGGGCGAGGAGGTGATATTCCGGCCGTCCATGTATCCCGAACGTACCGTAGAATATTGGCTGAGCGATCTGGAGAGGGTTATGCGAAACACCATACGTGAAATCATTCGTGAGGCACTCAGTGTCGTCGAGACCACACCGAGAAAAGAGTGGGTTTATATGTGGCCGGGACAGGTGACGCTCTGCTGCGGCCAGACTTATTGGACCGCGCACGTCGAACAGGGGATTCGCGGGAACGCTCTTCGAAGTTATTACAAGGAAATGCTGGGCCACGTAAGTTCCTTAATTCTTTATTTTATCAACCACGCGAATTTATTGCACACTCGTGTATCCGTCTACTGCCATTGATGCTATATTTATGAGAATCACGACTTTGCATTTCAAATCCAAAGATGTTAGGTTAGGCATTTAGGTTTTGGGTATTAGGTATATTACTCGAACACGTAATGTGTTTTCTAGATCCTAACGATGTAGAATGTTCTGTTCATGAGAAGAAGGGCGTATGTTACAAATTTTTGAAAAAGGTACCTCGTGGGAGGGGGAAAAGACACTTTGGCAGAGTCTTTAGTACTCGACACTGCCACTAGAGGTTAGGAGAAGTACAGAAAAAGTAAATAATCCGTGATGCTACACTGAGCAATGAATTGGGTTTTACGTTTTCCTATAAAATGTATAAAATGTAGCAACGTACGCCCTTATTCAATTAAGAGTTGTGCAGTTTGATAAACGGTTAGCTTCGATTTCGGCCATTCGACAATAAACAAACCGAAGTGCTTGCGTGTTTACTAATTGTATTGACGCGGGACTACGCTCATATGTAGCTCGATGGTTTACGAGAATTGGTGAGGGGCCAGCAAACAGAGATACAGAGGCTGATGCTGGAGGCGGTGATCACAATCGAGGTGCACGCGAGAGATGTTACCCACAGGTTGATCCAAGAACGTGTTTCGAACATCAACGATTTCGACTGGATATCGCAGTTACGATATTACTGGGTGGACGATACCGATCTGAAAGTGCGCGCTGTCAACGCCGAATTTCCGTACGGGTAAGTGAAAAACACGTTATTTATTTCTAGATTAGATTTTATTGTCGACTGCATGGATAGAAAAATTGGTAGATGCTGGATGTTTCTGTAAACAGGTAAACAAAATTAAGCAGAACCTTTCTTACGCACCGTAGTTGGTCATTTTCAGATAAGCCTTTTAAACTAGAACTACCAGCCTTGAATGTATACTAAATTAAATTGCGAAATATGTTAACCTCTGTACTATATAATATAGTGTTATGTAATATACCTAATAAATTAAAGGTCGATATGAATACCGACGAAAGTGCATTTGTGATTTCAGTAACTGTAAAATAATAAATCTGAATTCCGTCACTTTACCAGGTTTGGTAGTTCTAGTGTTAAGTAACTATAACAATATCTGCTAAAGATTGCAACTGTTTCTGGTGCACCATGAGAAACAGGGATTAATTGCTTTTAGATGCATTCGATTGCACTACAGTTTCCTGTTCCCTTTATGCAGGGTGTTAAAAAAATGCCGTTCAGTATTTAGTATATAGGACACACTGTACTGAATAAAAAAGCCTTCGTACACATAGCTTAAAAGGTCAACCGTTTCCGAGATATAAACATTTTTATATTGAATGATTTTTTGTAACACCCTGTATATACTGGACTGATTGCGGTTTTGGTTGTCAAAAGGTACGAGTACCTGGGAAATACCGGCCGACTCGTCATTACTCCGCTGACCGATCGATGCTACCTGACACTGACCGGGGCGCTCCATTTGAAATTCGGCGGGGCGCCCGCCGGCCCGGCCGGAACCGGAAAAACGGAAACCACAAAGGATCTCGGGAAAGCGTTCGCAATTCAGTGCGTCGTTTTCAATTGCTCGGATCAGCTGGATTTCATGTCGATGGGGAAGTTCTTCAAAGGCCTCGCCAGGTATTATTCATCTCCATGAATATTATACAGGGTAATTAAAAAAAAGGCTCACACTTTATAGGTTAAACAGTACTCGCCAAATGTTGATAACCTAGTTTTAAATACACATGAATTCACATTAACGCGAGTGACTTTCTTGCTTCGGTTGCTATCGTATTGTATGGAAACAACAAAGAAAATTGTAAAAACACAGTAATACAAATTGTAGAAAACCTTCTGTAACCATAAAAAGAAGAAACGATAAGATTAATCCATTGTTTTCAGCTTTAACCGAAAGAAAAATTGTTTCTAACCTCAAAAGTATTAATTTTTCGACCCATGTTTCTTAGGACTTTTGTTCATTATTTGTCGAGTACTATCTACCCTAGAAGTTATGAACCCTTTTTTTTTATCATCCTGTATACGAGCACGATTCGTAAATTGGTGACTAACCATATACTCGTTCCTAATTACCCGTCGAATGAACGTACATACAATTTTAAATGTAAAATAATATTACACATTTAATGAGGGGATGAATTTCGCGTTCAGATGGGCGCGTTTCGTTTCAACGTTTTTTATTTTATTTGAAAGGGATATTCATTTGTTTCGGGTAATAATAGCAGCAACTGCGTTTGTTTCCTCTCTAATTAGTTTCGTGTCGAATATTTATTGAAAAATCTCGTTGCTTTAATTTATTAGCGAGCTGTTGTTTACCGTGCGCCAGCGTAAATAATCATTCGTAAGCACGACCATACGAGCCCACCCATATTCGATAGCAACAATTGATCATTTCTGTCTCGAATTTGATGATTCCAGCTCTGGCGCGTGGGCGTGCTTCGATGAATTCAACCGGATCGATATCGAAGTGTTGTCGGTGATCGCCCAGCAAATCATGACCATTCAACAAGCACAGCAGATGCGGGTCGAAACGTGAGTTCTATGTTTACCTCGATCAATAATGCATGTGTATATGTTGTCTAATAACAACCCTTTATATATATCCTCGGTCTATCTTACCGTACTGAAAGAACCGAACAATTGAAACACATTATGCCATCGTGCGGTAATATAGTAAGCTGATTTAAAAAAACGAAATAAAGTGTGTCTGGCTACGTATAGCCTTTTTTCACTGTGGCAGTCAACGTGTTAAAAACTTATTGTTGGCTACATTGCCGATCGAGTTAATCGTCGAATAAAGTTAACTGAAATTGGTCGAAGTGACCCTTAATTGGTGAATTGATTATTGTCGAGGTCAGGGTCAAAGCGTGTTTTTACAGACACAATGAATGTGTCCTTCTAGGTTCGTTTTCGAGGGCGAAGAAATAGTGTTGAAGCCTTCCTGCGCCGTGTTCATTACCATGAATCCCGGTTACGCGGGTCGCACCGAATTACCCGACAATCTGAAAGCTCTGTTCCGTCCGGTCGCGATGATGGTGCCGGACTACGCGCTGATCGCTGAAATTTCACTGTTCTCGTATGGTTTCACCGAGGCGAAAGCGTTGGCCGCGAAAATAACGACGACGTTCAAGCTGAGCTCGGAACAGTTGAGCACACAGGCAAGTACTAAGTTCAAACATTCTGTCCAGAAACATGTTAAACGCTCTCTCGTTACCCTGGACACTTAATTTCTGGACAAGCGCTCGGTGTAGCTACGAAACGTTTCATCCGAAATACCCTATTTCGCGTGCCATGGTCTTCAACCATATTGCTCCGTAGGCTATCAAAATTCCAACCGTGAATATACATTTTTCCCGTTACCATGTATCTTGAAAAGAAATATGCGACGAACGGTATATCACCGTCGGTCAATCCATTTTTTTTGTTTAACCTAAAAAACAGGGGAAAGTACGGGTATAGGTTTACGGCTTTTAGCTCGACGTCGTGTTTTCCATGCACGATCGAGGCGACAGGCATTAATCACCCCCCGGTGGAATTGTCCCGAAGGCTGTGAGAAGGGTGTGACAGGGAACACGATAAGTTTCTTCTATCCTTCTCTTTAGCGAGCTTTGTCTGTACATCACGTGGGCGTCTGCAATGAATAGGGCTAATTAAATGTTACTTTACCAATTCTGTAATAAAAAACAAACTATACGGTCATATATGAGAGAAACTTGGTTCCTACTGGAAAATTCTGTTAGGAACAATATTAGGAGAAAGGGGAATCGAATAAACGTGACTGGATCGACAGATACCTTAATTGCTTTCTCTAGTTTTCCTAACTTTTCTTGACAATTTTCGGGATCCAGATTTGACAATAGTAAACTTCATCGATAAAATTCATTTACCATCCTATGTCAGCACTTAGTTCTGTCCGATACAATTATAAACAGACATTGATTCGAGGAATTGGGACGAAAGTATAAGGCGGTAGACGGCAGCCATTTTTGTTTAGGTCATTCGGCACGGTCCCGAATTATCCGTTTCCCGTAGGCGCGTACTCGCGATTTACGGTCGATTCTGATTACAGTGCACATAAACAAATCGGGTGAAATTTAACCGTCTATCGGGGCCGGTTTATTTTCGTCCAGGATCACTACGACTTCGGTATGCGGGCGGTGAAGACGGTGATTGCGGTTGCGGGAAATTTGAAAAGGGAACAGAAGGATCTGAACGAGCAGCAGATCTGTTTACGTGCGTTGCGGGACGTGAACGTTCCGAAGTTCCTGAAGGACGATTTAACTTTGTTCAACGGTGAGTGAGTTTTCACCATGCACCCTTTCGATAAATGAAACAAGTTCCTATTCAAATTTCACTTTTGTGAACTTTATTCCGTCAAAATGTGTATTTTTCAAAAGCATTCGCAGCTTGCTAATTAGTGTTCTGGTGTTACTTAGGTATTGTGTCGGACCTGTTCCCGCGCCTCGAGGAGAAACAAGTGGACTACGGGGTCCTGGACGCAGAGATCCGTGCGGCGATCGTACGAATGGGTCTGGAACAAATCGACGGTGAGTCAACCAAAAATTGTTGTAAAATCCATTCGAATAAACTCTTGACACATGTACCTGTCGTTGTGGCGAGCGATAAAAATAGGGACACGGTCAAGTTGATGACTCCATTAGTACAGATCCGGGGCACATGATTCCCTCGCTGATATATTAGCGTGATTAACGGAAAACGTTTCTTCGCCACGAGGCGAGCCCTAATTATCTTGTTTCCGTTTTCGAACAGTTTTCCGCTGAATTATTCAGCCGGAAAACGACTGTTCTCCTCCCTCTCCCGCCCCCTCTAGTTTATGCGTACTTCTAAACAAGTAACGAGGAGCCATTTATTATCGTTCCACCATAGTCCTGGAAACGCACAGGTGTTACGAGGGGAGTCGTATTACATCTTGATATTCGACGCAATCGCATCGAAACTAATCCAACTAACTAGCACTAATTACACGAAGCGTTCACGGCGATATAATTCGTGCGTTACGGTGAATTGTAAATTATATTCCGAAACGAATTCGCCACTTGGCCGTCGAGATTGGCGAGTTTGAGTGCATGGTCGCTTGAAAGTTTTAGTCGCATAAAAAGGTTAAAAGTAAATAAACAAATTTTTTTAATAGGTTGATTTAATATCGATATTTTCGACTTCAAATTAACAAGATGCAACGTATATATCAGTCTCACAATTTTAAAATAACGATTCGGGAGTCTGCGCGTATTTCAACCGTATTTTCATTAATTAGTAACTCGAAAACGAAGCTTCCAGCGAAATTTCGTCGTTGTTGATTTTCGTTTCAGCTTGATATGTAGAATACACCTTGCGAAAGTATCTCACATATTTATTAACAACCTGTACAACAGAATACTGTTGGAAGGCCGGATTGGATATCGATAGATTAGTTTACTAATAATCACGTTATGTAACGTGGCCCTGAAAATAGAACTGAACGGTCGAGCAGTCGGAATCGACGACATTGAGATAATCGTGAAAATAAGATTAAACAAGTGTCTTCAAAATAAACGTCGATATAAAGAGATAAAAATGTAATCGTGTAGGTGGAATCGACGGGATTCATGGAAGTCTCGTTATGTCAGCACGAGTTGAAATTTTCACGTTCGTTTATTCGCGATTGAATGAACTTTTTTCCAATTCTTCGAATTTATTGATTTACTTATTTTTTTGATTTGAAAAATTTCATATTGGAACGGAAATTTCCCTTCGATATTCAAGCATCTGTTCAAACATGCGTAGCTACATTGTATGCATATGTATTAGATACATCGCTTACCATTTGGTTTTCCTCCAGGCTTTATTCAGAAGTAATTTCGATTAATCTCCTAATCCAATGAAACGTGTCTTTAGACAATGTGTAGGATATTTCGGGAAAGAATTTCATCTCCATGAATCTTCGTAAGGCGATTCAGACAGGGGCTTTGATGAATAACTGGAACGCAGTCTTTTGAAGCGAGGTATTCCAAGATTTGATGATCAACCTCGTTATCTTCGAGTAGACTTGCATATATGAAGTGCACAAGGTGCACTGGTTCACACGATTAAGGACGCGTTAGTAATTTGACGCAATCTATGTCATTATGTATTAAATCCCTTATGAAGGTGATATCAGTTTTGGATAGTGCCGACAGGAATATTTTCAAATAAAAATTTCGTCACTCTGTAAATTATTCGTACAACAAATCACCTTTAACGTTCGTCTACTAACAACACAAATATCATACAAAAAAATACAAATGTAATTTTAATTACATTGTAATTGCAATTTAGATTATATAATAAGATTACATATTTCCCAACTCTGACACATACCTATCGTTATTCCTCAGGAGGTTAACGATCTATCGTGTCGTGAAATTTTTCAAAAAAAGAATAATCAGCTTGCAAACGAATATACGCGTAACGAAGTCGATTTACTTTCGTTCCTCGACGAAATTTGAAACTGTGAGTAGACGTGAACGTGTTCCCGTTTAAATCTCCGTTCGTTCGATTCCAGAGTTCGTGAAGAAAGTGATCCAGCTGTACGAAACGACAGTGGTGCGGCACGGATTAATGCTGGTCGGACCAACTGGGTCGGCGAAGACGAAGGTAAGTGCTTTTCTAAAACCAGGGTGAATCCACTCGAATTAAATCCGTCGGCGTAAGGATCCTCGGTGACGGATCGTATAATCGAAAATCCCAAACGGGAGCCGGCTGGGCTCTCTATTCATTCCGCTGACTTGTTAGCATTTCAATGAGATTTCGAGCACGCATTCCGCGGCGAAAATACCTTTCCAAAGAGGATCACACGCTGGTCCATGGAAATATTCGGTGGCCGTGGAAGGTCCCGTCGGTCAAAGTTTCGATGGTACACTGACGTGCAAACTCGGCTTCCGCAAAGGGAAACAGTGACGTAGGGGAAGGGCCTCCTCTTGATTTCGAAAGTTACTGAAATTTATGTCAAATTAACATTCAGTTTAAAATTTATTTCAGTACTTGTTTCCAATTACGCTACTCTTTCCCCTAACAGAAGCAGAGTTTGTGAGGGTACAAAGGTAATCTCGACACGTTCACTGCCATTATGGTCACTGTGTTTGCGCGAACTTAAAATGAGAACTGTCCTAGCCAACGGAGGTCGTAAATTTCGAATTTATTCCACACTGTTAATACGTGAGTCCTTAACACGAGTTAACGTACTACGGTTGTTATATGAATTAAAATTTCAGAAATAGTGAACAGGGTGTTCCACCTAACGTGAGTATCTTTAATGTCTCAGTTGCTTTTTCTGTAAATACTTAGATTGTTAATAACAAAGACCTAAACAAAGGTATTTTATGATACTGTTGTAAGAGTTAAAAAATTGTGGTATTCTACATGTCAACAGGTACCATTCATACAGGGTGTCCCTGAGGTACACGTGAAATATTAGCTCGAAGATGTAAAATCAAATACATTTTCAGATTACGCCCTCGCATTCGATAAATCGATATTGATTTGTTGAAAAGTAAGGTGTATAAAATGCCAAAAGTTCGAACTGAATATACTGTAGATTAACCTTTAGAGGATGGGCAGGTTATATCATGACTTTTTATATTTCTGGAGGAAGAACTTTTATATATTTGTCATAGTGTTATACTGCGTAAAACAAGCGATCCCTCTGGAGTCTAAAAATAGGTTTTCCGTTCTCTACAGGATAATTGCCCGACGTTGTAAAAAAGGTCATACGTGTCCCGTTGATTGTGTAGTGTTGTTGGAAAATTTGTGCAGAACTGCGAACCGTCCATTCAGCGAACACTTCAGTAATTTCCGTAACGAATAGCTTTATTCTCGTGTAGCGTGAAATTTTTCAATTCGATACGAATCTGTGACGCTTGTTATTCCGTTTCGTGTCACGCTCAATTCGATACCGTTTGTCCGAATGCTTCGGTGACATCGTAGACCAGCGACGATAGGTGATTCGTCACGTGGTAGAGAACAGAAGTTGAAAAATATATAAAACAATATATTAACATTACCCAAAATGTGATAAAACCAGTGGTTAGATATTAGAAAGCATTTTTCTCTACGCGATTATTGTCCCAGACTCGAGTTCTGGACAATAATCGAGAGGAGTCTGTATTTCAAATAAGATGTAGCCAGATAAGGTGATATGTTAATGAACATTTTCCAAATAGTTTATTTGGATAATGTCCAAGCCTGGTATATAGCTCTGTGTGACGTCATCTTGTCCCTAGGGATAGGGAATTTTCTTAGCAATGCTTGAACTGCTGGCACCGTTCTCTGTGTGGTAAAAAGGCCTTGTTTCACTCCAAGGTAGAACGCGACAAGACGAACCTCCGGGATCTCGGCTCACTGTTCGCGTATAATAGACGTGGATAAACAGGGATTTCGAAGGTGCCCCTATTCGCGCCAGATTGGTTCTGTCTATCTACGCGAGAGAAAAGGGTATATCTGTCGAACCGAGCAATACCATTCGTGTACAAAACGCCTTGGTCGATCGCACGGGCCGAGAGAAGGTGACTGCGGACTCGAATAAAAACCAAAGGTAGGCCCGATAGGTTGAAGGGGAAACTGTTTGTGATTTCAGATCCGAAGATGAAATCGGGTTACCAGGATTCGATTCTTGGTCTGTTTGTTCTGCTGATTCAGTTATATAGGTTTTCATCACCGTCGTAAAAAAATGAATGTGTATCAAAAAACTTACCCGAGGAAGGGAAAACAAGAGTACACGACCTAAATGTGAAAAATGGTGTGTGAAGACGTTGATTTATTTATCGAGTAATACCGTTTGGAAATGACGGAGGGGATAAAGTTAAAGTTTTCTAGGTTAAGTGGTCGGGACAGATTTTTCGTAGGATAGTAATGGTGGTGAATACTATTATTTAGGATTGTAAGTGTAGATAGAAAGATAGTAACAGTGTTAGCGAGATCTGACATCATATATATTACACTTGACTCTACACATTGATTCGAGTAATAGTGCTCGTATTGTATGCAATACATAAATTACAGTACGATATTTACAAACGACACTGGTGCTTGCAAAAGTCAACGTCTAGTGTAAAAGTAGTACGTTACGGTTAACATTAATTGGTGACGACCGAGGGTACACTTAATCTACGCGTGCTTATAGGTTATGTTTATATACACGTGTTTTTTTTATGTAGCTACGAACTATCACGAGCGTAACATATTTTTTCTCACGCACATTACACTTTCGTTCGTGTTATTTCTAAGCGTCTGGTGTCACGCGGTGTACAGACTCCTCTCGATTATCGTTTGACTTGTTCTACACGATTATTGTCCAGACGTTATCCCCACCACTGGGGGTGGGGAGAGGCCGTGGAAACTGTCAAGCGCATACTTTGTTGCCGAGGGTCAGTTTTTGGGCAAAAAACGAATTTACGATGGTCTGAAACATTTCTCCCTATACGATTATTGTCCTAGACTCCAGTTCGGCATGATAATCGAGAGGAGTCTGTATAGCCCACTCTGTGCACATTGTGTACGCGCCTGCAATAGATTCGTTGTACAAATACATTACGCGACATCGATTATCATTACTCGTTATTAGACTGCAGATGTCTATGAAAAGCAATGGACACGGGAATCGAACGGAAATCCGTTCACTCTATCGTTAAATTGTATTTAACTCTTCATACTGCATACTGAATTTTACACAATAACACCTGCAGTCTACACGTTACATTAAATTACATCATCTTATCGTGTATTACTTACCGGTCACATTTATGAACCGTGTGTATCGTTGCACTTTCGGTGCACGTTTTCACTGTACACAAGTAGGAATGAATGTAAGTTATACGTTTGGTCGATACGTGGTAAGAGGATTACAGGTAGCCGAAATGCCCCGGTAAGGCGCTTTAATTCTCGAGTAACCAAATCTCCCCGTTGTGCCTCCGAATCTACGAGTCAAGCCTGATTATCGGTATGATTATTGCCCTGCGCGTGCACTTAACGTGCAGCTTCTGGCGTAATTTGCCTACTAACAAACAGTTCATCTCGTGCTATGAACTTGTTACCTGTCTTACGAGTTAACTACTTCGTTCGAGTAAATCTGTATCTCTAATTTCGTGCCGCTAACCTGTTCGCGAAGCTCCTAATGGACTAGCGTGTGGATGCACGCGAGGCTCGTGAGTTAATTAGAACCGTTCGGGGTAATAGATTGCTTCGGTTTGGCGGAAAATCGAGTTATTTGCGTTCCAAAGGATGTATAAATTTTCGACGAAAGGAGGATGAAGTTTGTTTTGTGATTTAAGTTACATTAGGCCGAAGGAACACGTGGCGTGGGTGATAAACGGAAGCGTTGATAGTCGGTAATTGTGACGAGGAGGTTATGTTGTTATTTACGGATGAGGAAAAACTAAGGGGACAGATAGGCGGCGTGTGTCGAGCAGGTTAAGATTATCGTTGACATAGCGTACATGTTTCTATTAGCGAGGCTGTATTCCATCAGGCAAGCGGCCTGTTATCTTTGAACAATTATTTATTGTCTCTCCCTGGAGCGATAACGTGCGTCGATAAGATCCTCGATTATTACTCGGAACCGTAATATTCGTTATACACAGAGATAATGCTCTCCGCGAACAGTTGCGTAGCACGATATCGATCTCTACGGTGTTCCGGTGTGTCGCCTTCGGCGGCTACAAGGGCCACATTGGCCTACTTAACGCGGGTGGTCTTACCCTCGTTAATTTACGATGCGCCCTACCACTTCTCATTTAAAATGCTGACCTGTTAAATTGGGAATTAGGAAACTCTTCTGTGAAATAAAAAAAAGTAACGTTGCCAAGTGTCCACTTAAATTTAAATTAAAGCACACGAACACATCGGACGCGATACAGGAAATTGCCTGAAATGAGAAGTTTGCACGGGTGGGTGAAACATTTAAAATCTTTTTCGGAAGTAGATACGCGGTAAACGCTCGCTGATCATCCCGATTGTTCTCATCTCTATGGTATTTATTTCGTTTCAAGAAATACAGTGACCCACAAAAGTTAGTCTTCGGATTATTATCTAACCTCTTAAGGATTATTAGCCCACAAATGGCAAGGTGGGGTCGGATCCGACCCTAGCTTTTTTTTACTATTTTCAGTCGGGTAAAAAGAAGTTACTATCTCGAACTTCTACTTTTGTTTATTTATGTAATACTGAATAATAATTGAGTTATATAACTTCGAAGAACGAAGTGGTTATACGACCCTTTTTCTGAATACATATTGAGTTTCCTCAGTGACCGAAGGTGGCACGCGGTGTCTTTTTACGTAGAACCTTATTTGACGTTGTGCCATCGTAATATAAAACAACTACAAAGTGATTGAAGAACGTGTGTTACAGAGGCAAGCGCAGGAAAAATAACTTTTAAGCTTGCAAATGAGTTTCCTATAGACATAATGTATATAACATTCTATCTTTATTCTTCAATTATAAATGACGAAATAAGCCTTCAATTATAAAATAAGAAACTTGAAATCTATCATGTTTATGGGTTTTGTAATTTTAACATTGAGAGGGGTAACATAACCTTACTTCAAAAAAAAAAAAAGAAAACGCAAGAAGACTCGTCGGTTTTATTACAATTTACTACA